TCATTGTTTCACTAGTGTTTTTCCAACAAAACATGTTGGAGATCAAACGTGTGTAATAAAGACAGACATCTGTCTTGAAATAAAAGCTGAGTCACTGCTGCTTCACCTCTAGTCTTCATGAGATGTACAGAAGAATACAATGATACCTATAATCACCAAGGTGTAGCGCTTTAGGCTTTCAAATGTCCATGTACTGAACATCAGCTGAAAGTTCACTGTCTTCATAGTGCAACAGTCCTTTCAAACTGGAACTGCTTAAGGTTCACTTGTGAAGTTATTGAAAATTGTACATTAATAAAAGGTTACACGACTATTATTAAATAAGAAATCACTAAAATTAGAGTAATATTTCTTTTAAGGAATCAGAATCTTATTTTTTAAGTGGATGCATTAGTAAGATAAGGCCTCTGTATGATGCTCATAGGTGTACTTAGAATGGGTAATTAATCCCTGCCCACCTAAGCTCTGAGTTAATTCTCCCCTTGCAAGTAATGGTGCCATTTTTTGCTGTTACCTGTACAACCTTGCTGAGGTAATTGATACCCTGTCAACAAGTACTCAGATAAAATTATCTGTACCTATTAGAGGCGATGTATTTTGGTTTTATGTCCTCTGCCTCCATCTCTTCTTATACCATATAAAAATTACCTAATATTTTATTCATATTGTTAATAGCAGGAAAATTTAATTGTAATTAATTTCTCTGTGTCTGAATTATGGTCTTCTCTAGGTTGTTTTAGATAATTGCATCAAAGCTGGGGAGAAACTTTTTACAAGGGCTTGTAGCAAGAGGACAAGGAGTAATGGATTAGAACTGGAAGAGAGGAGATTTAGGTTAGATATTAGGAGGGAATTCTTCATTGTGAGGGTGATGAGACACTGGAACAGGTTGCCTGGGGAAGCTGTGGAGGCCCTATCCCTGGCTGAATGGTGCTCTGAGCAACCTGATCTAGTGGGAGGTGTCCCTGCCCATGCTGGGGGATTGTATCTAGATGTTGGAGGGTCCCTTCCAACCCAAACCATTGCCTTTCTTTACTGTCAATACACACTTAAGAATTGATGTTAAGTAAACCTGAGAAGTGTTGTCAATAATAATTCTAATCAAGTTAGGAATAAATAAAATCAGCAGTGGTCTGTACCTATAGATACCTTGAAAATAAATCATCTTTGGGCAGGTGGTGGCATAGCAGTCTTCTGTAATGGTACAGTGCTCCTTTCAGATGCCTGAGCATACCCCAGTCCTGGGGTGATGCACCTTTCCTCTGTCTTGGTCAGATATTACTCTGCTTTCCCTGCTGTGAGGAGTTGACCTTGTGGGGGTTGGAGCAATGAGATTAAAAACTCCTTGGTCAAGATTAAGATGAAACACCTGTGAAATTTTTTCCTTGCTTGCACCTGGTTTCCCAGAGGCACCACCAAGCACTGCTGATGGGCTCAGCTGTGTCCTGGGGTGGGACTGTTCTAGAACTGGCTGGAACGAGCTTGAGATTGTACAGGACAGTCCTGACCTCCCCTGCAGCCCCTCCGGCTGGCACCCCAGGCATCTGTGTGCTCCTGACCACAGGGACCTTGTGGAAATAGATATTTATATGCAGAGAAAGAAGATGGCTGTCCAGAATTGTTTCACCAAATGCAATAAATAAATGGAAACAGCTGTTCTGTGAAGAAAAACCTTTGAAATGACTAAGTAATGGTAAGAATGAGACTGCTTATCTTTTTTTCTGTAAATGTTGTTGCTGACTGTAGAGTGGAAAGGACTTGAGACTATATAAAATAAAGTAGAGCACCTAAAAGAGATTTGTGCAGCTTTGAATAGGCTTTGTAAGGTTCTGGTAAAACTTGTATTTGGGGTATCAAGAAAGATCCTAATTTCAGATGTGCTGAAGGGAATTGGATGGGAAGTGACAAAGTCCCTTTTGAGAAGGGAGAATATTGAATATTGAGAGTTTGTATGGACAAACAGGCCAAACTCTATTATTGCCAGCAGGTTTTGCGTGTCTGTGTAACTTTTCCATTTTTTTATTGTTGTATTCAATTTTTATCAGTGTTTCTCAGCTATATTGGAAGCAGTAGCCAACGTCTGCTTTGTATCCTATCACAGAGACTTGACTTGTAACAGTTTCCCTAAAACCTTGATTATCCTTGGTATTTTGCATGTATCCTTTTGTCAAAAATGGATTTGAGATTTAGCCTCAAGTGTTCCTGAAAATGTTTAGTTACATTATGATGAACATAACTTCATAATTATGAATATAATTCTGTAACTTTTGAGTTGGAACACTGACAGCATAGTCAATCTTACCAGCTTTTCACATAATGTATAGCTACAGAGCTCTGCAGATTATTATTTTTTTTTTTGGTCAATTTGCCCAAATCTGTCTGTGTGTGTAACACTTTTTCTTAGAGTTCTGTTGTAATAATGAGGTAGGAACTTAGATACCTTCTGACTGTTCAGTTTCAGTCTCTTCCTAACAAAAGAATAAATGCAGTATCTTTTGTGCATCAGTCAAGTTTTACATTAAAACTACATAGACTTTGCTGCCTTTCCTTATTGAAAGTCTGAAATCTCACTCTTCTGATAGTTCAGCACAATCTAATTTTCCACCTGGTTTTAATTAGAGCTTGTTCAAATTAATTTGCTTTTCTGTGTCAATATTGTCTTTTACTCGAATGCTTCTTTCTCTTGCATGTGTTGGGGTTTATAAGTAACAATGCACTTTTGTTGCTTTGTAGCTTGTTTGTTTGTTTTTATTTTGTGGGCAGTGGGGCTTTATGGGTTTGTCAGGTATTTTTGGTCAGGCAAGATAAGATATAAGGCAACTTCTTTCTCAAGCTAGTAATTTAAAGATAGATGATCATTACTTCAGTACTGCAGTTTTTATTTTGAAATGTTTTAAAAGGAGAATTAACCCATAATTGTTAGGACAAACCTGGAAATAAAATAAAACTGAGTTTTCTTGCCATCTCAACAAAACAAGGCAGAGATCATGTAACCATTCCCATGGATCTCTCATGCCAGCTTTTTTTGGCCAGTTAGTCTCAGACATGGTCAACTTGGTAGTGATAAAGTAAATCTGTTTCAGTCCCTACTAAGAATATCCTTTTCTCTTCCTTAATCTGTGCAAGTGTAGGAAAAATAAAAACACTCTAGTGTTAGATCAGCCTTGCCTTTAGATGATTTACAATTTTGATAAAGCAGCTGAAGTAGTTTTTTAAATTTATCAAAGCCTTTGTTCCTTCCAATGAACAGAACAGTCACTTAATATTGAGAGATAAATTAAGAGCAAATTATCTTGAATTTTAAAAGGAATTTGCTGGAATTTCACAGAGAAATATTGCTGTTCTTCTATTTCCCAAAGCAATTAACATAGTTTTGATGAGTCAACATTTATTAAGATAAATCTTTTTCTCAGCAGTTTCCAACTGTATCTAAAACTGTATCTAGGTTTAATGTAGTTCAGTAAGAAGACTGCATTTTCCTTCCTAGTACCCACTACATTGACTTCAGAGTACATACTTAAATGAGCCCTGGAGATCAAAAGGGTGTGTGTCCCCACAGAGCTTCAGCTGGGCCACTACCACAGCAATCAGTGGTTTTCATGTCAGAGTATTTGTTTGCTTTTGAGCTGTTGAGCTATATATCTATATATCTAGTAAAAAATAAGGCTTGGGAAGGGCTTGCAAGAACAATTGCTAGAGAAGTGAGGATAACCAGTGAGTAGATGTTAAAATCACTGTGACACTGTTTACAAACAGAGTGAATAGATAGTTTACTCATAACAAATACTGCTACTTACACGCAGCACACTGAACTGTAACAAAATGCAGACATGTGATAATAAGCCATCAGTTTTAAGAAAGGAATTAGAATTCTGACCTAATTCTTTCCCAGTAGGATTTTTCATCAGCTTGTAAACAAGTTATAGGTATAAGACATGGCAATGAGGAATAAATTAACAGAATTAGCAAAATGCTGGGACACTTCCAGCACATGCTGCTACCATTTTCAGGGAAAGATGGGAAGAGAGTGATATTAACATCTGTGCTTAGGTTCATTGGCTGGCTTAACTGCATTTAAGAGTTGAGTCCAGGGATGGGTAGGGTAGCTGAAAATAATACCTGTGCCACTGCTAAATTTTTTGCTGTTTTACTGACATAGGTGAAGAGAGGATGGCAGTTATAGCATGCAGTTGCCATCCAATTTCACCTTTGCTATTATCTGAGGAGTTTTGGCACGTTTGCCCTAAGAACTGATTAAGTTTTGGTACCTCATTCTGAATTTCCACTACAAGTGGGTTGAAGGGCTGCGAAGCATTATATGGTCTTTCTTTCCAGTTTTTGGAATTAAAGGAAGCTCAAGCAAAACTGCAGCTGTATATGTCAGCTTTGAGTTCAATGAGTGCTTTCATATATTTTGATCTGAGTGTGTGTACATACCTGCTTATACAAAAACTATTGTTCTGTCCTTCCATACCTTATTAGAAAAGCTGCAAAACTGTCAAGTTTACCTAACAGTACTTTCTGCCATTATAATTGAGAAAACGTTTTTAAGGTCTAATGCATTCTTGCCTTTTTTTTTTTTTAAGGCTTTTAGCTGAGCATTAGGAGCTATATGAATTATACTGAGATATTTCTATGTGCGTGTGCTCTAACTAGGCTTGAGAAATGTAAAGAAATATAAATTCTAACAAAATCTACGATTAGTATCAAATTTACAGGGGGTCTTTTTTTTTGTCTTTTTTTTACTCTAGTAATTTCATTCATCAGGGAATATGACATTTTCAAGCTGCCACAGGGCATCTTAATTTGAATGTAAAACTCTTTCTCTTTTCCTTTGATTTAAAATATGCTCTGAGCCTAGGCCAAAAAAAAAATGGGCTGCAAGTGGTATCATTGCCAACATCTGCTTACAGCAGCACTGATCTGAGCTAGTTTTGCCTAACTCCTTACTCACTGTGATAGCAAAGTAATTAATTTACTCCTCTGTTTTGTTCATACAGCTTGAAGTTGAGGTCACAGATATAAGTGGGAAAACCATTGATGGTCCAGTCCGCCTCGATATTTCTGTTATCGACCAAAATGACAATAGGCCAATGTTCAAAGAAGGACCCTATGTTGGTCATGTCATGGAGGCATCCCCTACAGGTAAGTCCATACCAATCATATCTCTATAAATAACACCTGAACAAATTCTGTATTGATAAATGCATTGTTATCATATTGTATACATTTGCTGATTTTGCTGCTCACTGAATCCTTCCCCTGCATAAAGAGGAGGGAGCAGCCCTTTAGTACAGCAGGTAATGATTTTTGAAAAACAGTCAAGTCTCTGCAGTAAAAAGAAAAGTTGAATAACACACTTTGGTAGGAAGGGTTACATTTAGATTCACACTTTTTTTTTTCATCTCTGGAATCAATGAAGACAACCCCTAGAATATTATTAGGATTCAGACAACTAACATGTTCTGTTTGTTTGAACTGGAAATTCCACCTCTTTCTCTGTAAGGTTAGCTGCTGGGAGGTTATCAGGAATAAATGGAAAGCACATAATGAATATAGTAAGATAGATTGAAATACTGAATGATGTCATTTGTGTAAATGCCTATAAAACACTTGCAACAAAAACGTTTTGAGGATTAAGGTAGGTAATGAAAATGTTCTGATTAAATTCACTGTTGATTTTGTCTGATATTGAAATTTGATAGTAACATTATTTCAAATTACAATTTGGGTACAAACAATCATCCTAGCTAAGCTCTTCCTGCAGGTAAAGGCAGAGGTAACTTTTTCCAACCTCAGGTGTTGGTGCAATTTTGTTGTGAGTTATTAAAGAGCTGTTGCATTCCACTCTAAGGTTTCTTTTCTGCATTTGTAATCAACAACTGTATGATCAGATTATGTTATGGAATTAACTTGGGTTTTGGTGAAAGAAATCTCAAACAGTAGAAGCTCTCATTCAAATCAGTGGAATGACAGTGACACACAAACCTTATCTTCTCTATGTAGTTGAAGCTGTGAGTACAGATATAAGGTTTTGATTGTATAGACATACTGAAATGTTTTGAAATTCAATCAGGTAAATGACATTTTTGTAAATATTTAATATTCATTTAAGCTTAAAGTGAACATGAACTTTGAACAAGAACAGACATTGCCTTTTACTTCTTTTATTATATACTGATAGTAGAAATTACTTTTTGTCCGTTTTTATTTATGTAGTTTCTAGAAATTATGTAACCCTTCTAGTGAGTTTTACCTTTTCACATATAGTTGCTGTATGAAAAGCTGTAGGTGTGAAAAGCTGTAGGTATGAGCTGCTCTTTCATCAGATTGCAAAGGATGTTCAGTTGAATGCTCATTTACTTCTGACAAGCATGTGATGAAGAGAGTGTGACTGCAAATAGAACACTAACTTTTCTGTTGTTGGTCTATTAATTTCAGATATTGATTGCTTATTCAGAATTCAAAAGAAACTTCCTTAGACTGTCTCAGTTCACGTTCGTCCTGTGTTGTAACAAGTTTAATAGTTAAATGAGAATGTGTTGTTAACAAATGTCAGGGAGTCCTTTGCACAGTCAATAGTATATGGCAGAGTGTGGCTATCTCACTGGGTCAAGGGACCAGCTTTACTACCTTTTCATTTAAACCACAGCATCTTCTTGTCCTGCCCATTTAGGTACATGTTCTTAGAGACCTTCTGAGTTGGAAGGTGTAGTTTTAGTAGATTCACAGCTCCTAAATCAGGTATTTCCATAAAAGAAAGTGGTGCTAAAGAGCTCAAACTCAGCAGTGTTTAAGCTTTAATCCTGCTAGTAGTGTATGAACTCTGGATGTCAGGTGTAAGTTCCTGCAAGTCTTTCAGTGGCCTCATCTCCTTCCATCAAAGCAGCTTACATTTCTGATGTACCACATATGCTCTTTCCAATGGTATTTAGTCTAAACTTGAGTGTTGTTAATTCCAGGCTATAGGACAATATTTAACTGTTATCTGCTATAAGTTCTTTCTTTACTCAAACTTTGCACTATGTTTCTTTGCTTAGGATTTTTTTTTTAAATGGCAGTTCCCTATCTTTGCTTTTCCTTTTTTCCACTCTTTCTATGAAAGTTTATGCTTCTGATTCAGTAGACATCTTTCTCAGTCCAACTTTCAGTACATTCGCCTGTAATGGTTTTTATTCTTTTTGTTCTGCTGCACTTCGGTATTTATCTGTGTAGCATTTGGCATCTTGATTGTCTTACTCATTAATCAAAGATCGAATAATTTTTCTTCATCTTTTTCTTGTCCTCTCCCTCAGGTAGTCATCCCATTAAACTTCATAACCTCATCTTCCTGGTATCAAGAATACCAATACTTACAAAATTATTTGTTCAAAAGCAAATCTGTAAAATCAGTATTAGCTTGAATCTGTCATAGATGTCTGTGCAGATGGCATCTAGTCAAACAAGATTTCATGTTGTTTACATCTGTTTTCCACAGTTCTTCAAATTTTATGGCATATATCTTAAAATTATTCATCAAATTATGCTGTCTTGCTGCTCCTAATCAATAGTTGTACTGCACAGCTTGACAGAAATCTCTGTGCATTTGCATGTGTGATCCTGATTCCTTCTTATTGTGCTAATGTTGTATAGTTGCAGCACTCTTTCTAAGTTTAAAAAAAAAAAAAAAGACTTTGCATAGTATGTGTAACCTTATTTCCTGTCACAGTCACCTTTATCCTCAGTCAAGCTCTGACTCAAACCCATTCACTGAAACAGTCTGCTGAAAATAAATGTTGCTCTCATAGGTATCTTGGCTCTGTCTTCATGATCACTGGGTCAAAGTGAAAGTGTCCATGGATTCAAATAATTCAGTGATGAGAGTTGTATAATTATGTAGAAAAAGATATAGGTATACTGGACTGTGACACTTGCTTGAAGGATTCTGAGGCCTCGTTAAAGGATATTATAGTTACGATAGTATCTTATTTTAAGTTATTGCTTGTTGGGTTCCTGTTTTCCTGTAGAGCAACAATTTTTGCAGTCAGAAACTCTCAATGGAATTTTATAGTAACTTTCCACTTCTTTATTGACTCTGAGATTACACTTACATTTTATTTATTATTCATAAGAAATACCAGAGATTTGTGAATAAATACATCTTGGAGAGAGTCAGCATCACAAATTTAAATATGTAAATCTTAATATTCAAGCAAATGTTTATATTGGAGTTCCTTGATATTGCTGCTGGTTATGTGTTTCATCTTTTTATTGTTCTCCATAATGAATCTTTTCCTTAATGTCTTGAAGGTTTAATTCCTTAATTAGGGAAAGGCACAGAATTTTCAAGATTACAGTCAAACATTGTGTCAAGCTCCTGCTAAGCATCTTCTTTTCTCTGCCACTGGAGATAGTTACCGGTAGAAACAATAAACACAAAATAAAACCTGGAGATAGTGTGCAGCTTCTGTATTGATTTGGTCTGTCTATGAATAATTTAAGACTCTTTTGTGGATAGTCCGAGTGATGATGTGTTCTGGTGGTGTAGTAGGATGCTACAGGTGTTGTAATACATTGTCTTACTAAAGCCATTCACCTATTTTTTTGTGTGTGAATTTTAAACTCACAGTAACCACCACTGTTTCTTTGGGTATCTACAATTTGTGTGTCGACACTTCAATACAAATACCTGGGTGTATTTATTGGGACTGTAAACTCGTATGTGCATTATATGAATAAATATTCATCTGGATTTCAGGCTAAGGTTTGCTACAGCTTACAATTAATGATAAAAATATGGGAATGGTAGGTGTAATAGTAATATATTTCTTTCCTGATATATCTTTCCTGGAGAGATTTAATTATATACTTAGTTGCAGTTAATTAGCTATTCTCATATACTCAAATATATTCTGAAATTCACATTTTCAGATTTATATTTGCAGACAATTTCCTAGACAAACTTCACACTTGGAGGCTAGTTATTAAAAAAAAACCTTTTAATTTATTTTTTTTAAGAGCAGTAGAGAAATAGTTTGGGGTTTTATTTATTTATAAATTCTCTGATTTCTGTATGAGACTGAAGTCAGCATAAATATACACCAGGGAAACAATACTTGAGCCTGATTCAGGGACACCTGTGGCATTTTTTCTACTGGCTGTAGGGTTTCATTATCTGTACCTTCTGCTTTATCTTATTTTTGTTTTCAAAGTTATTATCCTGTTTATTTCCTATAGATCTGTGATCTATCAAGCTCCAGCTCTAGTGTTTAGGATCTGTGTCCTGCTGTAGATTGAGCTCAGTACACTCAGGAGAGTGACTAAGCTATGGATTAAATAGCCAGGCAGAAACATTAGGACATCTCACTCTTTAAAGGCTGGAAAGTGAAGACAGGTTAAATGAACTTGGCTGCCATCCCACTTCACTTGTTGGAGGTATTTAACAGAAATTATTTTAGAGACATTTAACATTGAGTCACTTGTAACAATGTGCTGGAAGCCCAGTGGGGTAAAATCTGAGCTGCAGTTGTAGGGAGAATTCCTCAAGACTTGTATGACAAATAAATAAATAACTTGTTTTCCATGATATACAATAGCCTGAATACAGACCAAGACTGATTGATGTCTATAAATAATTGCTAGAAATAAAGAGACATTTGAAGACACTTATAGAGGAAACAGAAGGAATTAAGAAGAGTAGCCTGGAGGGTTGTTCAGTATCATAAAATAATCATTTGTAAAATGGAAAAAACAGGAGGAAGAGTCTGAAGCATCAAGTATTTTTGGTATCTGTGCATTGTGTATTGGTTGATAGCTATGATTTAGACAAGTAAAAACTGTTTCTAGAGATGGTGGCTCCTTACCAAGAATAACCTATCAGGACAGGTAAAGTGATTTAGCTTTATATCCTGTGTGTAACCCAGAGCTCTGACTGAAAGAATTGTTGATAATTAAAATGCTCATTGCAACCTCTCTTAGAGATGGTGCTTGAGCAGTTTTTGAAGACTTGTCAACTCAGTTTAAATTTCTGCCTGTTGGCTCTTAAAGGTATTTAATGAGTGAGCTCATTATTTCATGTTAAAATAGTAATAATTTTTAAAAAAAATTATCAGTGTAAAGCTCAGGAGTATTTTTAGAGCTGAACTGCAAAGCTGACATGTCTCAGT